GTCTTTGACACAGGGCCCCTTAACAAGACAGGTAAAAAAGATAAGCTGATATAGATCTTGCCTTATGTGGCGTTACTCTGATATAATCTGCTCTATCCTGGATGAAAATTTTACATTCAGGGTTAGTTTCAGTGACACGTGATTGTTTGCCTGTTAAAGATATTTTGTAAATGTAACTTGAATCATATCATAGAACACTCATATATGTCGCTTGACTTTTTTTAATGTATTGTGCTATAAACATAGTGTAAATAAAGTTGTTTCAATCCAATCCCTCTGTCTGTCTGTTAATCCAGCTGGCTGACAGCGAGGTCTTGCCCACCACATGCCAAACTCCCCTTTTGCTCCATGCAAATATCACAAAATGTCGACCGGCTTGTCTGCGTGCGTGTTTCTCAGTGCGTGAGTGTGTGTCTCAAAACCAAGCGCTCTACATCTATGCGTTCATACGTCTGCTTGCTCCCTTATTTATTATTTGCCTCTCGTATTTCTTTCTGTCTTTTCTTTTCCGTTCCCTGCCTTTCATCACCGCCTGGATTCCCAAATGTAAAATGGCAGCAGAGAGGGAGACAGAGAGGGTGGCGTACATTTTTAATGGAGGGCTTTTATATTTTAACGAGCCTTCCTTCTCTCTTGCTTAATTTAGTTCAATGAGGAGGGAAGGCGAGGAGACAGACGGAGGAGAAAAATATAAATAAATTACACATAAACACCACAAACCAAAGCCACGCCCACTTACCCACCGTCCCTCAGGATCAAGACATCTGATTGGAGGACGGGTAAACGTAATCAGGCAGCCAATAACAATTTGGATGCAAGGTTTGGATTTTACTATCAGTGAGGACAGTTTGTTGGCTTTTGTCAGCTGTGACCATGACTGAAAGTTCCAGAAAAAGCTTAAAAGTAGATCTTGAGTTAAGACTGTCTTGGCACATTTGTTTTGGTTTGTTCTGATTTTTGTCAGTTGCATTCAAGGACGCTTGGACATTTGCGATTTCATTTCTGACAGCTGGAAAGCATCACATTCATGAGACGTTGTGTCTAAAAGAAATTAAACCCAGACAACAAATAAGACACGGCTGCTGTGAAAAGTATGAAGCGAACATTGTTTGCTTGATATTTTAAAAAGCAGTTGTGCACCCACAGGGAGAATTTTCAAAACAGTCAGTGCTCTCAGCTGTATTAGCACATCACAACAAGGTAACAGAACAAAAAGTGTTGCGAAAACTCAACTCGTTAGTGCGTTTAAGGACCCACCAAAATCCATTTTCTATATGATTGTTAGTTGCCGATCACCAGAATGATCAAACTTGTGATTCTTTTCACGACAACCAGGTGATACGTTTGTTTTTGTCAATATACAGAAGACTATAGACTGGATTTTATTATCATATGAGATACAATAAACAGAACTGGACACAGATCCATAAACCTGCATATCATTGGATTGTTTCAGATACAGGTCTTTTTTGTCCAATGTGAGGTTTCTGAATGCAGTGTTTCTAGGTTCCTGTATGGAATCTCTTGGTTGATGATAATGTAACTCTGACAAAACTCACATTCCTGTGAGTTGATTTTAATAGAAACAAACTGAAACCAGTGGCTGCTTTGAAGGAGGTAACGCAAACCAAAAACTGATGGATTATTTGGAAAATCCAGTGATCTA